TCACAGTGCCTGCTCTCCTTATGCGTCTGAATTTCTAAACTCGAGCGTAGGCCTGTAGCCTGGCACGTGTCTTGCTCCACCCATCCAAGGGGTGTTCCAACCCTGTTCACCTCTGGGTTCTAAGGCACTAGAGGAGGCAGCAGGCCTCTGCCAAGATCTTCCTGGCTTACCAGTCCAAGTGGAGACCTTCCCGCAGCATGTGTCAACTTTGAATGCCCGGTGCAACCTGGTCCAGGCAGGGAGGGGCTCCGGTAGGGGGTGTGTTTCCCCTTACCCTGGCCCTCCACAGCTGCCCACAGCCAGGAAAACTGTCCAACAGCTGCCCAGGGAGAGAAGTGAGACCAAGAGGGTGCTCTCCTCCCTTCCTGGAGGAGCTTCCTGAGGCTTACCCTAAGCAGGCCTGGGACTGGGGCAGAAGAGAGGCGCAGACAGACCGTCGCCTGAGGTGGGTGCGAGGTGCGTCCCAGGAAGGATAGCGTCTCCTCATTGCCTCGTTCCAGGCTGGCTAGATGGCAGCTGGCTAGTCCAAAAATAAAGCCCAATTCAAGTTCCTTTACATCCGCCCTTCAGGGTGACTTCCACTTGCTTTTTTTTTTTTTTTTTTTTTAATGTGTCAGTCCTGGGGCTTGAACTCAGTGCCTGTCCCTGAAAACTGTCCCTGAGCTTTGTTTGCTCAAGGCCAGGGATCTATCACTTGAGCTCAGCTCCACATCTGGATTTTTGGTGGCTAATTGGAGATAAGAGTCTCACAGACCTTCCTGCCCAGCTGGCTTTGAACCATGATCCTCAGATCTCAGCTTCCCGAGTAGCTAGGATTCCAGGCATGAGCTGCCAGTGCCCTGTGTCATTTGCACCCTTAACTGTGCTTTGTGAGGGTCCAGGACTCTAACCGTCTTACACCTTGGTACTACGGTGCTTACCTGGCCTTAGCCCAGCTCTGCCATTGCCTGGAGATGGGTGGGGAGCAGTGTCGGTCCGTCTGTCCGTCCGTCTGTCCATCCGTCTGTCTGTCTGGAATGGACAACACACTTGGGTGTCTTGTCCTGCTCACAATGGGGTGCTGAAGAGGTTGTACAGAGTAGCAGGAAATGTGCAAAATTGTCTCAGCAAAGGAGGTTTTGGTTCAAAGACAACCTCTTCCAAAGACCAGTGTATGAAGCCAGCTCAGGCAGGAAGTGCCTCTCTTCAGGGGCTTCACCTCCGCCATCTTACCGCTGCTCCTGTAGCCACAGCGCTCCGAGCTCCACGGGCCCCTCGGAGTGGGGAGCAGGGAGCACGGCCTTGCAGGACGTGGGAAGGGCCCCGTGGAGTCCCACTGCCCATTACTTCTAGTTTCATCAAAATGGAATTTCAAGCGTGACTCTCACACAGAACCTCCCATTCAGAATACTCCTCCGGGTGGAGGCTTCTGTTGCAACAGGCCTTCAGCCTGCCCTGAGCCAGGGGCTGGGCCTGCCCTGTCCGGACCCCCGACCTCTCCAGCCCCCATGTCTGTCCTTTGGATACTTAGGTGCTCGGCGCTGGGCTCTGATGTGGCGTCTGCACAGAGGCCGGCCCGGCCCTGTCCTGACCCCATCTGGAGCTTGGAGCACTCAAAGCCACTTGCTTTGTCTTCCCTCATGAGATGTGGACGTCCACGTGGCTTGGGCTATGACTCGGCACGTGCCCGGGGGACCCACAGCAAGACCTGTGGACAGCGTCTGTGGATGGAGATGAGGAAGAGGTCGGGAGGGGTCCTGGGGCTGCTTCTCAAGGCAGGACTTGGTGGTGGGGAGCAAAGGGTTGGCATTGGGGACAGAGGGCAGGGCGCTGGGTCTGCAGGTAGGAGGAGCCAGGTGCAGCAGTGAATGGAGGGAGGGGAGCAGGGGAGGGGGAGGCCGTTGCCACAAGCCTGGAAAGCAGAGAAGGCTGGGGAACAGGGGGGAGGGGGGCACTGCCCCTCAATGCAGCAGAGGGACCTAGTGGGGGAGGGCTGGGCTGGCACTGGGTCTGCACGAGGGGCTGGTGCAGGGGCTGGCCCGGCCTGGGCTGCCCCAGCAGGCAGACTGGAAGCAAGTGCAGGGCCTCCCTGCCCCCTGAGTGGGCAGGAGGCAAGGGGTGAGCCTGGAGGTCAGTGCGTGTCAGGAGAGAAACCGCAGGTGCAGGGAGTTCTGAGGCTGGTAGGGGACTGTGATCCTTTCCCCCACCTGAGGGAGTAGCCTGCCAGGGGCTTGCGTAGCCGCTGCTCAGACCCTCTCCAAGTTATTCAGGGCGAATATTTGGGCTGGGGGGCCCAAGTGACCCAGAGACCTTGTCTGAAGTCACCCTTCAGCTATGGCAGTGAGTCAGAGTGACCAGAGGCTCCCCAGCATGCCCTGCCCCTCCCCTTCCAACCCTGCGCCCTCCCCCAGTGCCTGCCTCCCCCCCCCCCCCCCCCCCCCCCCCCCCCCCCCCCCCGGGTGCACTGACCCACACATGCCCAGGAGGACCAGGTGTGCTGTGTCCTAAGCTGCTGCATGCCCAGGTCACTTCAAACAACAGGAGTTAATCCTTTCACACTTCTGGAGGCCAGAGACCCAGAGTTCTCTGGAAAATCTTCAGGAACCTTGTCTCAGGCTTTCTCCAGCCTGAGGAGAAGGTACCTGTGCCACAGACCGGCCTCCGCCTCCATCTTTCAGGCCTTCCTCCCTCTGCCACCCCCCTCCCCCAGCACACCAAGGGCTCCATCATGGTATTAGGAGCACTCTAGTCCAGTGTGGCCTCACTTTAACCCACTTGCCATGACCTTGTAAATACAGTCCCAAGTTGAGACCTGACGGGGGTGTGCTGTTGGGCTCAGTGGGCTGTTGGGCATCGGTGACCTTGGAGGGCAGTGTGGAGAGGGCAGATCAGGCCTCGCGTTACTACTGTGGGTTCCATGGTAGGCGCCTCCTGAGGTCCCCCAGGACAGACAACACAGGCAGACCAGACAGGCCTGTTCCCAGCTGCTCTGGGGTCAGAATCGTAGAAGCACAAGGACTTTTAGGGGGCCCAGCCTGAGACCTCCTGAAGTGAGAGCCGGAGCACTGGGCCTGGGTGGGGGCACTTCTCAGCTTCCCAGCCCTGCATATACCTCCCTCCCTCCCTCCTGCCTTCTTCCCTTTCCTCCCTCCCTCCTGCCTTCTTTCCCTCCCTCCCCCCTTTCTTCCTTCCTTCCTTCCTTCCTTCCTTCCTTCCTTCCTTCCTCCCCTCTTTTCTGTACTGGTATTTGAGCTCAGGCCTTCACACTTGCTAGCTCTACCACTTGAGCCAAATCCCCAGTACTTTTTTTCTTCTTCCCTATTTTTCAAGTAGTCTCATGCTTTTTGCCCTGGTCTGGCCTTAGACCTGGATCACCAGTACCTCACACCAAGCCGGTTTTATTGAATTTGTGTGTGTGTGTATGTGTGTATGTGTGTGTATGTATGTGTGTGTGTGTGTGTGTGTGTGTGTGTATGTGTGTGTGTGTGTGTGTTACTGAGATTTGATATCAGGGCCTCACACTTGATAGGCCCTGTGTTGGGGGGTTTTTTTATTACTTTTTTTTTTTTGTCAGTTGTGGGGCTTGAACTCTGGGCCTGGGCACTGTCCCTCAGTTCTTCAGCTCAAGGCGAGAGCTCTACCATTTGAGCCACAGCACCACTTCTGGTTTTCTAGTGATTTATTGGAGATAAGAGTCTCATGGACTTTCCTGTCCAGGCTGGCTTTGAACTGTGATCCTCAGATCTTAGCCTCCTGAGAAGCTGGGATTACAGGCGTGAGCCATCAGCACCCAGCTGTGTTGGTTATTAATTTTTTATTGTTATTACAAAGGTAATGTACAAAGGGGTTATAGTTACATAAGTCAGGTAATGATTACCTACCTTCCTTCCTTTCTTTCTTTTTTTTTGTTAATCATGGGACCTGAACTCTGGACCTGGGCGCTGTCCCTCAGCTCTTCAGCTCAAGGCTAGTGCTCTACCCCTTGAGCCATAGCACCACTTCCAGCTTTTTCTGCTTATGTGGTGCTGAGGAATTGAACCCAGGGCCTCAAGCATGCAAGGCAAGCGCTCTACCACTGAGCCACCTTCCCAGCCCTGAATACATTTCTTTTTGGACAATGTCATCCTTCCCTTTCTCTCTCCCAGTTTTTCCCTCCTATCCCCACACAAGGCTCACAGTTCATTTTCAACATAGTGTCCAGTGAGTACCATCGCTGTGTTGGTTCACCCTTTGTCCCTCTATTTTGTGTTGGTTATTTTGAGATGAGATCTTGCTTTATGCCCAAGCAGGCCTGGACTGAGAGCCTCTTGTCTGTGTTTCTGTGAACTGCCGGGTGACAGGAATATGCCACTTTCCCTGCCATTGGTCCCGATGGAGTCCCATGGACTGTTTGGCTCTGATTGGTCTCAGGCTATGATCCCCTATTATCAATCTTCCAAATAGCTAGGATTATAGGTTTGAGCTACTATGCCTGACTTGAGAACTTTTTTTGGGAGGGGGAGGCCGGGGCTACTCTGGATTGGCCTTGAACTGCATTCTTCCCACTCTCTACCTTCTAAGTAGTTGGGATTACAGGCATGAGCCACAAGGCCTGAGCTCTACCAACCCTCACACTTCTTTTCTCCCAAGCCACCTCCTGGGGAAGCGTTGCAGAAGTGGAGAGGAAGGCGGTGGTGGATCTCTGATTCTTCTTTGGGGAAGGAACCTTGGTGGTGAGGCCAGAGGGAGGCGCTGCGGCCTCTGTGTTGTCCTTTCTGCACGTGAAGGAAGCAGACTGTGTGTAGGCTGGGCCTGGGGTCGGATAGAGAGGACAGGGGCCTGGGGCAGCTTCCCCCTCAGGTCAGGTGGGCAGTCAAGGCTGAGCAGACTGAGTAGGAGAGCCCAGGACCTCTGGAGAGCTGGCACCTGGTCCTTCCTGCAGTCCTGGCCCTGGTGCCAAGGGCAGTACTGGTCCCAGGAGGGGACCAAGCTCAGAGATCGGTGCCAGCCCGTCCACAGCCAGATGGCCTTTTGTTCCAGAGCCATGAACGACATTGGGGACTACGTAGCCTCCAACTTGGAGATATCCTGGCTCCCCAACCTGGATGGCCTAATAGAGGGCTACGCCCGCAACTTCCGGCCTGGTATTGGAGGTGAGGGGCTAGGGACATGGCCAAGTGGGGATGGCTCCACACCCGGGTGGCTGTTGGCTAGCAAAGAGCTGGGTTCTTCCCCAGGGCCCCACAGGGAGGGGAGCTCTTCTATCCATGGTGGTGAATGTGCTCCCACCCCAGGCTCCCTGCGGAGCCCGGCCAGCTGGCGGTTTTCTTGTGTCTGCCTCCCTGGGTTTGAGTGGACAGCCTGGCCCGGCCCGGAAGGGGTGCCGGGCCGGGACCCCTGCATGCTGGCGTCAGTCCCTCCACCCTGGTGTGTCTTGCAGGACCCCCTGTGAATGTGGCGCTTGCCCTGGAAGTAGCCAGCATCGACCACATCTCAGAGGCGAACATGGTAGGTGGTGATGAACACCTCCCAGGGCTGTGTGCCCGGGGTAGAAGGAGGCCTGCCCACTGCCCACACCGACCCCTCGCTCACAGGAGTACACCATGACCGTGTTCCTGCACCAGAGCTGGCGAGATGGCAGGCTCTCCTACAACCACACCAACGAGACCCTGGGCCTGGACAGCCGCTTTGTGGACAAGCTGTGGCTGCCGGACACCTTCATCGTGAACGCCAAGTCAGCCTGGTTCCATGACGTGACCGTGGAAAACAAGCTGATCCGGCTGCAGCCGGACGGGGTGATCCTGTACAGCATCCGGTGAGCCCGCACCCAAGCCCTGCAGGGCCTCCCTCCACCTTCCCTCCACCCCCTGCATCCGCTGGGAGCTGGGGTGGGCGGATGGAGGCTTCAGCGTTAATCACGCACTCCAGCTCCCGGCTTAGCAGACCTTGTCCACAGAAAGACAACAGAGTCTGCGTACTGGCCAGACCAGCACCTTTTTGTTTTTCAGATGGTGTTATGTTCCTGTCACATGAAATCAGTATTTAAAAAAGAACAGTTCCATGAATTTAGTGCATAGACCATGTACTACCATGGCCTTTAGTTCCAAGGTATCACCCCAAAAACAAGCCTTGCTTTATGGGGACACACACACACGCACCGTCAGGCAGTCGCTCCTCACTTCCTGTCCTTGACAGCCCTGACCACCGCCAATCCTCCTCCTCCTCCTCTTCCTCCTCAGACCCCCGTCTGAGCACTCCTCACCAAGTGGGTCATGCCTGCCATGTGTCTAGCGTCTTCCGACAGCACCACTGGCTCCAGGCCCGTCTGTGGTGTGGCCTGTGTCTGAGCTTTCTTCCTTCTCACAGCTGGTTAACATGTCATCCCGTGGATGGGTCAGGTTTTGTTCATCTGTCCATCTGTGGACAGTTGAATAACAGTGCTGTGGGCTGGGAAGGTGGCTCCGTGGTAGAGCGCTTGCTTTATATGCATGAGGCCCTGAGTTCGATTCCTCAGCACCACATAAGCAGAAAAAGCTGGAAGTGGCGCTATGTCTCAAGCTAGCCTTGAGCTGAAGAGCTGAGGGACAGCGCCAAGGCCCAGAGTTCAGGCTCTATGACTGATTTAAAAAAAAACCAACAACAAAAAACATTGCTGTGAACATACAGGTATAAACAAACCAACAAATATTTACACTTGTTTTTCAAACAAGTGTCTTTTTTTTTCTTTTTTTTTTGCCAGTCCTGGGGCTTGAACTCTGGCCTGGGCGCTGTCCCTGAGGCACCACTTCTGGTTTTCTGGTGGTTTACTAGAGATAAGAGTCTCACAGACTTTCCTGCTTGGGCTGGCTTTGAACCTCGATCCTCAGATCTCAGCCTCCTGAGTAGCTAGGATTACAGGCGTGAGCCACCGGCACCAGGTTTCCCTGAGCTTCTTTTGTTTGAGGTTAGCACTCTGCCACTTGAACCAAAGTGCCACTTCTGGCTTTTTCTGTTTATGTGGTACTGAGAGTCAAAGCCAGGGCTTTATGCATGCTAGGCCAGCGCTCTACTACTAAGCCACATTCCCAGACTCAACACGTGCCTTTTAGAGCTAATTGCCAACATTCTAAGAATCAGGTTTTACACCAATATCTAAAAATCTGACCTGGAAAATGGAAGCCTGGGCCCACCTTGCGCCTGTCCCAAGCTGGCCCCTGGCCTGAACTTAAACAGCCACATGTCTTCAAGGATGAGAGATGGGGTGAAACCCAGTCCAAAGGAGCAGCCACAGATAACTGCAAACTTTGCATTTTTTCCCCAGTGCCTGGCAGCTTACAAACTGCCCAAGGGGCAGTAGGGCCGGAGGTACCCCTGGTTCTTAGTGGCTCCTAGGGTAGGGACATCGCCCCCTGCTTGGGGGAGGGTACCTGCCAGCCTCCAGAGGCTCCTGGCCTGACTGGATGCTTGGTCTGGGCAGAATCACCTCCACAGTAGCCTGCGACATGGACCTCGCCAAGTACCCGATGGATGAGCAGGAGTGCATGCTGGACCTGGAGAGCTGTGAGTGGCCCCCAGGAGGTCCTCTGTGGGCGGGCTGTGCTGCCCCGCCACTGTGCAAGGGGCTCAGAAGTAACTGCCAGAGGGGCTGGGAAGGTGGCTCCGTGGTAGAGCGCTTGCCTTGCATGCATGAGGCCCTGGGTTCAATTCCTCAGCACCACATAAGCAGAAAAAGCTGGAAGTGGCGCTGTGGCTCAAGTGGTAGAGCGCTAGCCTTGAGCTGAAGAGCTGAGGGACAGCACCCAGGCACAGAGTTCAGGCCCCACGACCAGCAAAAAAAAAAAAAAAAAGTAACTGCCAGAGCCTCGCGGCAGCCCAGGGTGCAGACAAGGCTAGCCCAGCACAGAGCCCGGGCAGGAGGAGCCGGGGCTGGAGGGCCTGGGGCAGCCTCGGCCTGGCCCGTGGCCTGAGGCCTGTGAGATGGGGCCAGGCAGATCAGCAGTGCAGAAGTGCCGCTTGTGTGGCTGTGCGCCCCCCAACAGGCCTGGCCCTCAGTTTGCCAGCCCTTCTGGCCCTGGCCGAGGTGTGGGGCATGGTCCCAGAGCCGAGAGGCCCCCTGATCTGCCTGGACCGCCCTGGGAGCTGCAGGGGCTGGCCTGTCTACTGTCCCCCTGCGGCTTCCCCTACCCTGCAGACGGCTACTCTTCGGAGGACATCGTCTACTACTGGTCGGAAAACCAGGAGCGGATCCACGGGTTGGACAGGCTGCAGCTGGCCCAGTTCACCATCACCAGCTACCGCTTTACCACCGAGCTGATGAATTTCAAATCAGGTAACCAAATCAGAGTTAGCCTTGCCCAGCCTGCTCTGAGGGCCCACAGAAGCCTGGAGAAGACTGCTGAGTTAGGTGCTAAGTGCCAGGTTCTCTACCCTCTTCTTCCTCCTTGGTGCCTTCGTTCTCCTCAGTTCTTGGGCTTAGGGAGGATGATGTGTATGTGTATGTGTGTGCACGCACTCGTGTACGTGTGTTGGGAGCCTCTTTGTTCCCCAGCTAACCCATTCTATAACATGGCGTAGACAGAGGAGGGGTCTCCCGGGGGAGGCAAACCCTCCACCAATAGCTAGGAGACCCATGGGCAGCAGCGGGGGTTGGGGTCTTTTTCCTCTTCTTTCCCCGGTGGCCCTGTGGCAGGGCTAGCCTCCCCTGTGGACAGATCTGGCACAAGAGGACCTGACTCCGTCCTGTGTGGGGCAGGCAGGAAAGCTGCATGCTAGGGCCTCCCTTCCGAGCCTCACCATAGGCCCAAGTGCCGGCGAGGCCCCTGTGCTGAGCGTGGGGGGCAAAGGCTGGCCGGACTGCGCTGTCCCCACAGCTGGCCAGTTCCCCCGGCTCAGCCTGCACTTCCACCTGCGGCGAAACCGCGGAGTCTACATCATCCAGTCCTACATGCCCTCTGTCCTCCTGGTGGCCATGTCCTGGGTCTCTTTCTGGATTAGCCAGGCTGCCGTGCCCGCCAGGGTGTCTTTAGGTATGGGTGGGGGCTGGCCTGTCCTCGGGGGGAGGAGCGGGAGAAGGGCTGTGGGGGAGTGGGAGCGGGGGAGGGGGGCAGAGTGCCCTGTGAGCTGTGAGCCGTCTGTCCTGGCCCCAAAGGTCAGCCTGTCCTGGTATTGGTCGGACGCGGAGGGCTCTCCTTGTCTGGAACCCGGGTCCTGCTGAGCTGGGGGCAGGAGGGGCAGGGAGGGCTCCAGCAACAACCACTGTGTCCACTGTGGCCACAGGCATCACCACCGTGCTGACGATGACCACGCTCATGGTCAGCGCCCGGTCCTCCCTGCCGCGGGCCTCGGCCATCAAGGCGCTGGACGTGTACTTCTGGATCTGCTACGTGTTCGTGTTTGCCGCCCTGGTGGAGTATGCCTTTGCCCACTTCAATGCGGACTACAGGAAGAAGCGGAAGGCCAAGGTCAAGGTCACGAAGCCGAGGACCGAGGTGAGGGGGGGGGTGGCTGTCTGGGTCCAGGCCCAAGGATAGACTCCCACCAGGCAAGGCTGGGGCCCACCAAGCCCCTTTCCTGACCCCTGGGCTGCAGGGAATGGCCCTGGGGGGGAGGGGGAGGGAAGGGGCGGTTCTTGCTTGGGCGCTTGGTCAGCAAGAGCCCCGAGGCCAGGGCTCAGTCCTGTCTCCTCACTGCAGGTGGACGTGAGAAACGCCATTGTCCTCTTCTCCCTCTCGGCCGCCGGGGTCACACAGGAGCTGGCTGTTTTGCGCGGGCCGTGTCGTGTGTCCGGGAACCTCATGGGCTCCTACAGGTCTGTGGAAGTGGAGACGGGGGAGCTGAAGAAGGAGGGCGGGGCCCGCCCCGGGGGCCTGCGTGCCAGGCTCAAGCCCATTGACGCAGACACCATCGACATTTACGCGCGTGCAGTGTTTCCTGCGGCCTTCGCAGCTGTCAACGTCATCTACTGGGCAGCGTACACCATGTGAGGGCGCCATGCTCCCCCCCTGAACCCACCCTGCTGCCAGGAGGGCTCCTGCAAGAGCAGGGTGACAGTGACACCCCATGGAACATGCGGAGGCCTGGGCCTCCTTCAGCTTCACCCCGGCCCCTTGGAAGACCAGCTTCAGCTTCCTACTGACTGAGAAGGCTGGCCACGGACATGGGGCAGAGCCAGCAGACCCCGGCCCAGGGGGCATGAGTGGCTTCCTTGGGGAGCTATGAATCTTCAGACTTGGATTGATCCTGGTTTCTAGGCCTTCTCTGGGGGGAGGGCCTGTGGGCCTCTTGCTGTGGAGTATGGAGAAGGGTAGTGCCAGGCCTCTGGTCCCAGCATGAAATAAAGCCTTGAACCGGCTGCAGGTGGCAATTTCTGTTACAGTACTGCTCCGGGTCCTGGCTCCGGGAATGCTCAAGACCTCCCTGAGACCACTTGGGGGTGAATTTGCAGCTAGTGCAGATCTGCACGGTCAGGAGCAGAGGAGCAGATCCGGGCTCGGGAAGGAGTGGAGCCAGCCTCAGCTGCTGATGCCGCTCCTTGGCACCTTCTCGCCCCTGAGATCCAGTGGGACATTTCCTCAAATGTAGAAGTGGGTTGGGAACCTGACCTCATAGTGGGTTGATCCAAGCTGCATGCCCTATGTGCGTATGCACCTGTGTGTGTGTGTGTGTGTGTGTGTGTGTGTGTGTGTGTGTGTTGCTGGTACTGGGGCTTGAACTCAGGGCTGCTGCTCTTACTTGGCTTTTACTCAAGGCTGGCACTCTGCCCCTTGAGTCATACCTTTACATCTGGCTTTTCCTGGTTAATTGGGGATAAGAGTCTCCCAGGTTTGTCTGTCCAGGCTGGCTTTGAACCACAGTCCTCAGATCTCAGCCTCCTGAGTAGCTAGGATTACAGGGGTGGGCCACCGGTGCCTGGCTGCTATGTGCTTTTTTTTGGGGGGGGGGTCCGGTCGTGGGGCCTGAACTCTGGGCCTGGGCGCTGTCCCTCAGCTCTTCAGCTCAAGGCTAGCGCTCTATCACTTGAGCCACAGCACCACTTCCAGCTTTTTTTTCTGCTTATGTGGTGCTGAGGAATCGAACCCAGGGCCTCATGCATGCAAGGCAAGTGCTCTACCACAGAGCCACCTTCCCAACCCTGCTGTATGCTTTTTGAGATGTCTTTTCCAAGCCCCAGGGCTGAGGGCAGACTTGGCATAAGAGGAGGCCTTCAAGGAGCCACCACCCTGACCCCTCGTGGGGTCTGGGTCTGGGGAACTTGGGGGTCCCCCACCCCTGCGAGAGACAGACTCCAGCCGCAGCTCAGAGACCGGCGTTCACCAGAGCACCTGCAGGCCAGCATTTCCACAGCACTGGCCATTCTACCCGGAAGAGACAAAGGGTGCAATCAGCATGCTCCAGTGGCCACAGCCAGCAGACTCAAGACGTGAGGTCAGCTAAGTCCATCCCCCTGGCTGACCAGGTGTTATGGGACTGCACCCGGCCCCTGCAGTGCCCTCCTGGTGCTGGGGGTCCCTCACTCCACCCTCGTGAGATCTCTGCCACCACCCCACGGCACAACCTGCCTTCAGCAGCCCCAGGATGCTGTCGGTGGCCTAGCGCCCCCGGCTGAGCCAGGGCACAAGGCTGTGGCTCCTTCTGTGGCTCTGAGTGGGGCCCTGGGGGCCCAGTCTGGACCACAGCCCGGTGCTCTCTGTCTCTGCCTCCGATCCGAGCCCTGTCCTCTCACCACTAACCCCTCCTTGCACCCGGATGGCCCGTGCTAGAGGACCAGCAGGACCAGGATGGGGGTCTGGGCTCCCGGGTGACCGTGAACTACAACCAGAACGCGTGTCTCGTGTCGGAGCCAGAGGAATGCAGCAGCTGGTGGCTGAGCTGCAGAAGAGCTGCACGTGGGTCAGCTAAGGCTCCGGGCTCTGCCGACAGCAGGTGGAGACGGCGGGGCCGGCCGCCTGAAGCAATCCAGGACAGGGACATCCTTGCTCTGGTCCTCGGCCAGGGCCTCTCTCCCCACCAGGCACCTGTGTGCTGCGTGTGTCTGCAGGAGTCTGCCTCCCTGCCTCACAAAGCCCACACACGGTAGCTGCCTGGCTGGGCTGGAGACTGCTTCCTACAGGCAGCCAGGCTCCTGCCAGAAGGACTGGGGACAGGGTTGGCTCCTGCTCTGGGTCTTCAGGGGAGGGCAGGGGGGAGGCGGGGAAGGGGAAGGTGGGGGAAGCATGGAGCTGCTGGGCTCGCCCCAGACCCCCTGCAGTGCCAGGCCGCTGCTCCTGGCGTCTGCCCTGCCCCCTTGCTGCCCGTGGGCCGCCCTCTTTCTGCCGAGTACCCACGGGGAACTATTTAAAGCAGGCCTCTGTGACTGCCTTGGGCTCCCACGCAGCCGGGCCCACCCGGGCGGCAGCCTTCGCCTGGCTCCACAGCCAGCAAGCACTCGCTCCAGCCTGCAGACTGCTATTTCTGCCCACATATTACAGGGCAGGGGGAGGAAGGGAAGGACCGATGCTTCTCACACGCCAGCTTCTATTCTGGAGCAGATGACAGGAGCAGACTGAAGGCCAGGGGTGAACCCGGGTCTGCAGCTGAGGGGAGCAGGCAGTGGGGGGGTCACCCAGCGGGGAGGGGTGGCTCTGTAAGTGTGGGTGGAGCCGGGCCAGCTTTTCCCAGAGGCTGGGACAGGGGGAAGGCCCCCCAGCCAGGGGAGGCCCTAGGGCCTGTCCTGTGGAGGGGGTGGACCAGCCCCACAGGCCCAGTGTCCCCCTCCTGCAGGGCAGCCAGTGCCCAGCGCCGGGGTTGGTAGGCTGGGCCTCCGCCTGGGGCTGGCTAGAGGCCATCACAGAGCACAGGGACCTGGAGGGTTTCAAGCCTCTCCATCCTCCAGCTCTGGAAGCCGGCGGCTCCACGGTGTGCTGCGGGGCCCTCATTTCATCCCAGCTTTGTGGCTTTCTTTTCTTTATTTAGAACCCAGGGCCTTGCACAGCACCCCGGAGCTCTATTCCTGTCCCCTCCCCTCCCCTTCCCCGCCCTCCCTAGGCAGGGCTTCTACCGTTTAAACCACAGCTTGGCTCTCATTTATGTCTTATTTTTGAGGTAAAGTGTCTCTAACTTCACCTGGACTGGCTTTGAACTCTAGAGGCCTTCCAGGCTCCGCCTCTCTAGTAGCTGGGATTATAAGTGTGAGCTACCACATCCCATGTAGCCATTTAAAAAACAGACAAACAGGATCTTGCTCTGTCGCCCAGGCTGCCCTTAAGTTCTTTCTGCAGCTCCTGCTAGACTTGAACTCCCAGTCCTCCTGCTTCAGCTCCCGAGGGCTGGGATTTCAGGCGTGCACACCAGGCCCAGATTTCTCTTCACTTAGGCCCCTGTCATGCGATCTAAGACCACTCCATTCCAGCGTGTCCCATCCTAACTAATTTCATCTTCCAAGTAACGTCACAGTCTCAGACTCGGGGCGAGTGTGCATTCTAGGGGGTGCTTCTCAGTTCAGTCAAGAGGTTGACCCCAGGAGAACCATGGGGTAAGAAGGAGGGAGAGAAGAGGAAGGAGAAGATAGACAGATACATTCGTAGCCCTGAATGCAGAGCTTTCTCCAGGGCTTTGCCCCTCGGGCCTGGCGGAGGCCGAGGCAGGGTACTCGGAGTCTGGATCTGGCTGATCGGAAGGCCCTCAGGGTGCCAGGGAGGGTGAAGGGCCCCAGACAGCACCAGGTCCTGCCAGCGGAGGGTAAGGCCGGTGGGGGGGGGCCAGGATCCAGCCCACTCCCGGGCTTCTGGGGGTGGGGGTGGGGGCTGAGCGAAGGACCCTGGGGCTTTGCTCTGACCAAGGAGTTAAATGAGTGTCCAGGCAGGAGCTCAGAGGGGAGCCAGGGCTTGGCACCCTGCTGGGAGGGGCCACCTGGAGAGTTCAACAAACCCAGGGGTTCTTGCACCTCTCCCCAGCTTTTGTTCTGGGCGTGTACATGAGTTCTAGGGTTACAGGCATGAACCCCTGTGCCCGGGTCTCCCTTTCCCTCTCTCCGGGCCAGCCCGCAGCCCTGTGCCCTGCCGTGCATGGCCCCAGTTGGGTGTGGCCTCATTGTCCCTCGGAGGCTTGGGGGCAGGGGCAGGTGCCAGCGTGCCCATGCCCTTGCTGTGCCATGGGCAGTGACGTCCTCTGTCTCTGGTCCAGGAGTCCTGTATCTTCTGGGCCCCTTGGGAGGCCTCAGGCCCCTCCCTGGGTGGCAGGTCCTCTGCTGCCCTGTCCGCTGTGGTGCCGGGCGGCCGCCCCATCGGTGCTGCTGACCTCCCCCAGCACGCGGGTGCCCCTCCCTTCTGCAGTCTGGAGAGGTAAGAAGGGGAAACAACTGGTGAGACATAAAACCTACTTCGAATCACATCACAGGCTCAGATATTCTTGAGCTCATTTTTCACCCTGGATGCCTAGTAAATGAAGCTTGCGGAAAGACCCGGACACAGAAACAAACGGCAGCCAGGCCTTCCTCTTCCAATCCAGTTCCACGGCTTCTGGTGACGCCTGCAGTCCAGGCCCCCAGGGCGGAGGCCGCCTCCAGCAGGGTGCAGCCTGCCCTTCTCACTGGGGTACCCAGGAGGCGGTGGGGCCTGTCTGGGGCTCCCAGTCAGGCCTGGAGCACCCGAAAGGTGTTCAAAATAGCCCCTTCCTGAGTGTTTGGCAAGAAGAGTGCAGGGCGCTGCACCTTCCGGTGCCCTCCATCCAGGAGCGCCCTACATCCGGCGGCGCCCTCCATCCAGGGGTGCCCTCCATCTAAGGGTGCTCTCCACCTGGGGGTGCCCTCCATCCAGGGGTGCCCTCCATCCAGGGGCGCCCTCCATCTGGGGGTGCTCTCCATCCGGGGGTGCATTCCATCCGGGGGTGCCTTCCATCTAGGGGTGCTCTCCATCTGGGGGTGCCCTCCATCCGGGGGTGCCCTCCATCGGGGGGAGGGGCTGGGGGCAGAATGGCTTCCATGTGGTGTCTGTGGACCTCCAGGCCCAGGACAGACATCTGGCCTCACAGAGCGAAGGGCTCCGGTCCAGATGGCTCCTCTCCCTGCTGCTTTCTTCCATGCACAAGGGCCTCACCCTCCCGTGCCCGTATCCAGGAGAACCTGGTCTTCCGGGGCCAGCTCAGTTTTCCTTGTGTGGCTCAGGGCACACGCTCTGGCAGCCAGCTTGGCTTGGCCCTGGGCTGGATCTCCAGCTGGGGGTGGCCCTGGACCCCATCTCCCTCAGCACAACAGCCTCAGGAAAGTGCCAGGCTGCAAGGCCTTCTGGTCAGAGCCGCGCTGCGGGGCGGGCCCGTTCGTCCATCTGCTGCTGCCCTGGCCCACGCGGCCCAGCAGGGCCTGCCTCCTACGTCCCGCAGAGAGGCGGCCACCTGACCCGAGAGCCTGCCAGGGCGCATGTCTGTGCGTGTGGACATGCTGTGTGTCCCTCTGTGTGAACGCGCAACTTTCTGTCTCAGAGGCCACGGAGCTGGGGTCACATGGAGTCCACGGGGGAGGTTCCTCGGCTCCTCGGCCACCACCACCTCCTCCCCTGGCCACAGCAGCTGTGTGCCGCCCAAACCAGGTACCAGAGGGGTCTAGCTCTAGATCTTTCCTTGGGACCAGGTCCAGAGGCCCCAACCAGACGACACGGACCCGTGGTTTCAGGCTCTGGGACGTTTTGTCGCTCGCTGGGGATCAGTTCAAGAGCGCCTGGGCTTTAGCCACTCCCCGAGCGCCGTCTGAGAGAAAGCAGGAGCTGGGAGGGCAGGGATCAGGGGGGGCCACGGCAGCCGGGCCCCCGGACCCTGTGGCCGGCTGGACACCCCTGCTGAGGGTCGGCTCCTCGTGGGCCTGCTGCCGAACGGCCCTCTGCTTCCATTAGTTTCCTGAGGCTGAGGCACGCCCGCTCCCTCGCTGGCAGCCGGGAGCCGTGGCCGGCACTGTCACGGTGGCGCGGGCAGGCAGGGCCTGGCCCAGGGGGCTGGGCTGCCGGCCCACCCGGCGGGCAGCCCGCAGGAGCCCGGGCGCCTGCCGTCCGAGGTGCGGGAGAGAGGCTCTGCTCCCACCAACCCAGAGGCAAAGACTCCAGCCTCCCCCCACGGGAGCCTGAAGGTTTCGGGAGGAGTGTCAGCTGGCACCTGGCCCAGCCCCAATGGCCAGGCGGCTGGGATGGAGCCTTCCTGCGTGCTCGTGGTGTGGGTTGGGTCGGGTCTGATCATCCCTGGGGTGGCTTGATGCGGGGTGTGGCGCCCGGCATGACTGGGCTCCCCACCAGACAGTGAGCGTGCTTGGGGGAGACGCCGCTTCCAGCTGTCCTCACCGCGCCCCTCCTCACAGCATGTGAACCCGTGTGCTGCTCTCCTGCCTTCCCTGGCAGTGCTCCAGCACCTCCTCCATGCAGGTGTCCCCCCGCCCCTCCCCGCGCGCACACACACGCGCACTCACACACACACATGCATACACATACACACGCGCACACACATACACACGCGCACACACACACACACACACACTGGTGCCAGTCCTGGGGCTTGAACTCCAGCGTGGACGCTGTCCCTGAACTCTTCAGTTCAAGGCTAGAGCTCCCATTCCAGTCACAGCGCCACTCCTGGCTTTTTGGTGGTTTGCTGGAGGTCAGCGTCTCACGGGCTCTCTTTCCCTGGGCTGGCTTTGAACCATGGCCCTCAGCTCCCAGCCTCCTGAGTGGCTAGGGTTTCAAGTGTGGGCCGCTGGTGGCTGGCCAGTCTGTGGGTGTTAAGCAGCCCCACAACTGTGGTAGGAGTGACCCCAGGGCCACCAGGGTGGGCAGCTTCACGGTCAGGAGAAGCCAGCCGGGCAGGGCCAGGCTGAAGGCAGTAGGGGAGGTTGAGTCAGCCACGAGGGCAGGAGCATGAGGAAGGGCTGGGGAGGAGCCCTGCTGGAGTGTTGGGGTCCTGGGGGGATCACTGCCAGAGGCCCCTCTTCCCCAGCACCAGGACCACAGCCTGGAAGCAAGGCAGGGCCTTCCTCCACGATGGCCCTCTCACGCCCCCTCCTGGGAAAGCTTGGTACTGCACTCACCGGGCCAGGCAACTCTCCCCACAGATCAGTGTGTGACAACAACCGGCCCCAGGTTAGAAGTGCCATCCGGAGGCCTGGGTTCGAGAAATCACATCTCTCCAGTCCCACGCCAAATGTGGGGTAGGGGAATGGACACCCACACAGCACACATGTCCCTGACTGTTCCATGGGCTCCCCGTTCTCTTCCACTCCATTTCCATAGCCCTGGCTTGCTCAGAACTCCCCCACCCCGGAGGCCACTGAGAGCGCATGTTCTCATGTCCAGGAGCCACGGTCTCTTCTGGGGCCTGCCCTCCCCACGCCCACCAGAGCTGTCATTTGGGCTGTGTGACATGTTGACAAGGGTCCTGTCCCCTCCGGCATGCAGGTCCCATGAGAGGATAACCCCACTTCCTGTTGTGATCCTGCACAGCCTCTGACAGATGCATGCATGGCTGGATGGAAGGATGCATGGAGGGAAGGACTCATAACGGGTGCACAGATGCGTAGATGGATGGCAGGATGCACGCATGCACGGGTAGACGATGCATGTAATTATGGATGAATGCATGTGGCTGGAGGCCAGGGTGGATGGAAGGATGCACAGAGGGATGGGTGGATGGGTCGATGCGTGCATGGATGAATGGATAAATGGAAGATGAATGGATGGGTACATGCATGGAAGGGTGCATTGCTGTGTGGAAGGAAGGATGGAAGGATGGAGAGGAGGGTGTTGCTTTAGTCAGCGTCTCCAAATTCTGTGACTAGTGACAACAAAGGAAACATCTGCTGTCCTATCTCCCTCCACCGTGAGAGATGAGCACTCCCAGCCAATGTTCTGGGCCTTCCTGTGGCTGGTCCACTGCGGGCCAGGCCCCACCCCTAGCAGGATGTCTCTGTGCCTGACCCCACAGCTCTGGGAGGGCAGACCCGTTTGGAGCTGGAACAAATGCAGGGGGCGAGGGTCATGAGCAGGTTGTGTGTGTGGAGGTGGGGCCAGGAAACCCCTTTCCAAGATGGGAGTCTCACTGAGATAAACTCACTCTCTTAGTGAAGAGGACCAGAGGGTGAGCCTGTTGCTGCCTGAAGAACAGACTTCTCTGGCAGTTGGGGACAGGCCTGGCCCGGCTCTCCTGCTTGGGCAGGAGGGCTGCGGCTTCAGCATCCAGGCTTTTAGGGAGAGGCTCATGTGGCTGTGTTTTTACCATAAGCTGTGTGCTCTTTGTCTGTCGTACTGGGGTTTGAATCAGGGCCTTGTGCTTGCCAGGCAGTGCTTTGCCACTTGAGCCATGCCATACGCTCCTTTCTCTTTGGTTATTTTGGAATGGGGCCCTCGCTTTGCTCAGCGCCAGCCTTGGCATGCACTTCTTCAGGAGCTGCAAAGACAGGCGCATGCCGCCATGCTTTGCTTATTTGTTGAGCTGGGGTCTGGCTGGCCCTGGTATTACAGGAGTGAACAGGCCTCTACATGGCTTTCTAAAAAAAATTTCTTTTCTTTTGTCGGTCATGGTCATGGGGCTTGAACTCTGGGCCTGGGCACTGTCCCTCAGCTCTTCAGCTCAAGGCTAGCGCCCTACCACTTGAACTACAGTGCAACTTCTGACTTTTTCTGCTTATGTGGTGCTGCGGAATCAAACCCAGGGCCTCAAGCATGCAAGGCAAG